ACTTGATAGGGCAAGATTTTCTTAAACTTAATGAAGTTTACATATCCTTTTTCCAAAAAAGCGAAATGTATTTAGAAGTAAACAAATAAGATACTGACCAAATTGGGAAAATATTGATTTTTGAACAAATATCTCTCCACAAGAGGAACTTAATATTTGTTAGAGGACATTCCAATGCAACTTCAGGCCTTTTCAAGTCGCCAATATAACTTTATGCATGAGCTGAAATTAAGCCAATACACAAGATCACTTTTTAAAGGGGCTTATAATTCCATGTATTAGCTCCTGTAATTCTCCTCTCCTTTCAGTAAAGAAACTCAATAGGAAAGGATGGAAGATTTGTACACAATCTCATAGCTATAAATCTGCTCAAACACCCTGTTATTCAAAATTTACATAACTAATTATTTGCTATTCCTGTGAACTGCCAATATTTGTCAGTAATAGATTTGTGTAATGCCTTTTTCAGCATTTCTGAAAAAAAAATACCTCTTTGCTTTTACCTGAGATCACAAGTCTACACTGATATACAGAATCCCACCTATTTCTCTTAGATACTAAAAGCTGATTTAAATAATATTAAATTTTCTAGAGATTTCACTCTGACCCAATATGTGAATGAATTACTTTTATGTTCTAGGACATTACTAGACTCCTAGAAGGGCACAATTTACCTATTACAATCAATTGAGCCACACCAGCTAAAGTATGGCACTAAATCTTATCTCTTTCCTTGCCAGCCTTCTCTACCCCACCCCTTCTCTCTTCCCTCCTCTCTCTTCCTTTCTCTTCTTCTCTTTTCTTCTTCTTCTTCTTCTTCTTCTTCTTCTTCTTCTTCTTCTTCTTCTCCTCTTCCTCCTCCTCCTCCTCCTCCTTACAGAATCAATCTTGCATCAGTGATTTTGATTCAGTAGCAGATTTTGATCTGTTCTGTCTCTCTTAGTAAGTTAAATCTAACTTTCTAACCAGTTAAATCTAAGTGGAAGAAACATGTATCATTGCAGGTGGAAGGATTTAAGCCATGCTGTCATAGCCTGTTGGTGTTGAGATGGCAACATCATAGGTGGAATGATTTCCATCAATCTGGGTTTCTGAGTAACCAAGATGAGCAGAGCCCCCATGCTAACATGTACTGGACAAGTAAAATAAGTGAGAAATAACTTCTCTTATAATCAGCCACTGAAAGAGATCGAGATATTGTTTGTTACTGAAGCATAACTTAGTCCAACCTGACTAATACGTAAGGAATGTTGTGGGGAGAGGGATTTAAAGCCCTTTAAAATCCCTTTCCAACCTCAGATAATGAATTCAGACAGTGCTATAGGCAAAACTGTGATTCAATATGCTATTTAGGCAACTCGTTGTAATCACAGATTCCCAGAATCCTTCTTTGATGGAAAGCACTGCTTTCTCCTTGAACACAATGTAAATAATGAATAATAATGAATTCAGCAGGATGAGGTCAGGTTATGGCATGAGGCCGACCACTTTGAGATCCAGCAACTGGAGCACAGTCACTCGGGAGTCACATATGGGGACAACAGCTCCAGACGGAGGATGGATGGGAGTCTGACACCCAACCTACCAGAGAGAGTCTGTGCTCTTGGAAGGGGAAATGGGAAGGACCCTTCTCCTAGCAGATGCCAATAAAATGTTTTGAATAAGCCAACAACCACACACACACACACACACATACTCCACCACACATACTTACTTAATATGGATCTTAAAACTGGCAAAGAAGGTCAGGCTAAGGCCTGATATGTCTGAGCTTGAGAAACTAGAGATTTTGATCTGATAAGAATTACCTAACCACCTAACCCTTTTTTTTTCTTCTTCTTCTTCTTCTTCTCTCCTCATCTCCAGGTTTTGCCCACAAGTAAATGATCAAATCCAGGGAATCTTCAAAAGTCAAAGGACTGATGAAGAGTAGATGGTGCTTCCAGCCACAGTGGGCAGGGCTCTCCTCATAGACTCTGCCTTTAGCTTCCAAAAAGTATCCTCTTGGATGTTGCTCATGAAGCTAAAGAGAAGGCATTTCTTGTTGTGGAGTGTTTAATTCCTGGGAAAATCACCAGCCTTTTTCCCAGGCCAGAGAGATGGTCCCATAAGAAAGTAGATCGAATTGCTTAATCCTGGTAAATTCTGCTTTCCCAAAATCAAATAATAATAATAATATGGAATAGTATGGCCTCAATGTCCAGGTTGCAGTAGGCTGTAATTACAAATTAAAAATCTCAAAATTCTTGCCAAAACTGGTTTGGCTCAGTGGATAGAGTGTCGGCCTGCTGTGGACTCGATGGTCCGGGGTTCAATGCCAGTCAAGGGCATGTACGTTGGTTGAGGGCACATCCCCAGGGGGAGGTGTGCAGAAGGCAACTGATGGATGTTTCTCTCTCATCAATGTTTCTGACTCTCTATTCCTCTCCCTTCCTCTCTGTAAACAATAAATAAATAAATAAATCTCAAAATTCTGAAGCCCCATCTGCTCATGTAAATAGAGCAGCTATTGAAGAGTTCACTCCCTTGGGTGTTTTGAGAATTCCCAACAGAGTGCCTCCATAGGTGTGTTTGTGAGCCAACCTTATCCCTCAGGGCTGGCTCGCCAGCTGCTGCAAGGTCCAACAGCTGCCCAGTGATGGTGAGAATGGGACTCTCCTCACCAGGTCTTGGTGCCAACTTGCTGCAGCCTAAAGATGTTCCAAAGTCATATATTCTCACTTTATAGGGTGCTTGGTCCCAAAGGATTACAGAGTTCAGTGAAATATCTTTCCAGGTTTACACTCAGAGCAATTCTTGGCCCCAGGGTGTCCAAGTGCCTCCAATAGTGACTGGTTTGGGGCAGTTTCCGGTAGCATGAGACCAGAATCCATATGTCATGAGGGTTGAAGGCTTAGGGGTAGCTCTCAGCTCTAAGTTCAAAAGCCAGAGTGTTGTGTAGTACTTTACAAAGTACTTCCACAATTTTTTAAAGTATGTTTTTATTGATTTCAGAGAGGAATGGAGAGGGGGAGAGGGAGCGAAACATCAGTGATGAGAATCATTAATCGGCTACCTCCTGCACGCCCCCAACTGGGGATCGGGCACACAACTGGGGCCGGTATATTCAGAGATGACCATGACTGCCAGGGTGTAGCACTTTGAGATCTCAATCAGAAGCTTGTCTGGGAGGTTACTAGCGCCCCCTTCAGCAGGCTCTGAACACTGATTGTTGTTGCCCTGATCCTGTACATCTGTGGAAAGTTCTGCACATCTTCTCAAATGCCCAACCTTTTATCAACTTTTCTCTGAATTTAGATAACTTCCTTCAGGGAAAAGCTGTCCCCCATGCTGGGCTCACTTCTCTGGATTCCACCTCCCATATCTCGGTCCTGTAATTATGTTTGTCTTGTTATCTCTCCAATATCTTCAAACAGGTATGGGTGTTTTTTCGTATTTTCTGATTTTCTTCCCCAACTTCTCTTGACGTCTTCTCAGTGAAAACTTTTGTTTAAAAGCTTCCTTCAGCCCAGTCGTTGTGGCTCAGCAGTTGGGCGTCGGCCTATGAACCAGGAGGTCACGGTTCGATTCCCAGTCAGGGCACATGCTCAGGTTGCAGGCTCGATCCCCAGTAGGAGGTATGCAGAAAGCAGCCTATCAAATATTCTCTCACATCATTGATGTTTCTATCTCTCTCTCCCTCTCCTTTCCTCCCTGAAATCAATTAAAGGGGAAAAAAATCCTTCATGCAAACCAGTGAAGTGGAAAATGCTTCTGCACCTTCACCAGCTCCCCAGCAGCTGCGGAAAAATCACTTGACTCTATCATTGGAAGGAAAGACAGACCTACCACACAGGTCTGTAAAGTCAGAGTGAGACTACCTAGATGACATGCTCAGTGAATTCCGTAGTTATCCTCTTTGTTCCAGACTCCAAAAAGCTCAGAGCCAAATATTAATCCTTCTAACAACTTGTGATTCAGAACCTTATCACCTGTCCTTTGTGAAACAATCTTAGTTCAACTTCATGGCATTGTCTGTGTTCCAAGGGTTTCCCCTAGTTCCTTACATCTTGTTGTATTGCATGTATCTTTTTTTCCCCCAACGAGTTTATTTGGGCAGACCAACCCTGCATCTAAAAGAAGGTGTTGGGCCTCTTGGTGGTGAAGCCGGCGACGGATTGTGCTGGCGACGAAGGACCTGGTGAGGCAACGGGAACTTGATCTTGGAGTCGTGGAACTCCTTGACTGCTGGTCAGCGGCACTTGCTGGCTGCAATCTCCTCCACCTTCATGGTCTGGATGGAGTGGGCGGGGACACAGTGCCAGGCCCCCACATCTCGGTAGCACTGGGTGGTGGTCAGGTCCCAATACTCCCGGTACATGTTGTGGGTGCCTCTGCGGGAGTCGTAGTGCAGCCAGATTTCCAAGTTCTTTACCCAAAAGGGGGAATTCTTCAAACACCTGCCCACAGAAGACTATTTCCCCCGAAGACTTCTTCATCTTCCTTAGTTGAGACACAAAGTCCCAGAAGCGGGACTTGCAACTACATGGTTAGGTGCAAATATGCGGTAGAGGGGTGGTGTGTGGCACTTGGGGGTGGGCAAGCAGCCCCCCACCACTTTGTTCTCTCAAAGTGTTCCCCAGGCCTTCATGGCGTCCTTCCCGTGTCCGCACCGCCCACAAACGGAAGTGTCTACTCTAACAAAGCCAATTACCATGACTTCATTACAGGAAGTCTGCGTGTATCTTTACAAGCCGCTCTAAATCACTTTGATAGGCTAAGACTGGTTTGGCTCAGTCAGCCTGCGGACTAAAAGATCCCAGGTTCAATTCCTGTCAAGGGCATGTACTTTGGTTGCGGGCACCTCCCCAGAAGGGGGTCTGCAGGAGGCAGCTGATCGATGTTTCTGACTTTCTTATCTCTCTCCCTTCCTCTCTGTAAAAAAATAAATAAAATATATTAAAATAAATAAATAAATAAATAAATAAATCACTATGTTAGGAGGTGGAACATAATTGAGTTTTGAGTATTCGTTATATTTTCTGGACTCTAGTTCCTTATCCTATACAGGATTTACAAATACTTACATCCAGACGATGACCCGTCTTTTGAAGAGAAGAGTTCCACTTGAATGAAGTTCAAATAATCCATTTATTTCTCCTACAGCCTCTGCTTTTGGTGTCATATCTCGGAAAAATTTGGCTAATTCAAAGTCGCAAATGTTTTTGCTCAGGTTTTGTTTTTGTTGTTGTTGTTGTTGTTTTATTTTATTAAATCTTTATTGTTGAAAGTATTACAGTCCCCTTTTTCCCTCAGTGAACCCTTCTAGCCTGCCCCACCCCCCACCCCAGGCCTTTAGCATCCTATTGTCTGTGCCCATGGATTAACACACCTTTGAAATGCCTTTTAGACCCCTCATCAGATTAACCCTTTGAAATGCCTCTTTTTTTTAGACCCCTCATCAGATTAACCCTCAAGTGAGCACTAATTTTAGCTATTTTATAAGCCATTCTAAAGACTTTCCCGCCTTACTTCCTCCTGCTTTTACACAATCTTCTTTGCACTCTCCCCATTAGTTCCAACAGTATTTAAAGGGATGCAGACTCCCGCTGGAAAGCAGCTCCCTCCTGCCTCCTTGCTGGTGTGTGGGTGCCAACGGACATGGCCTCCAACAGGCCGGGAGGAAGCAGGTGGCGCAAGAGGACCAAGTTCAGCGAAAGCCAACTGCAGGTTCTCATCAAGGCCTTTGAGAAGGATGAATACCCTGATTTCACGGCCCAAAAAAAACTAGCCAAGAAAACCAAGATTCCTCAGTCCAGAATCCAGGTATGGTTTCAGAACCGGAGAGGCAGATGATCAAAGAACTCCCAGAAGAGGCCCCGTCCAGATGCTGCGGCTCCTGGATCCCACCAGGGTGCATTCCCTGCTCCCAAACACCACCATGGCCTCCAGGGCCTTCCCCCCCATATGGCTCTGGCAGAGATCTACAGAGCAATGCGGACCACTTCTCCTGGGGGGTGGAGCGTGCATCTGAGCCAGCAGGCCACTGGGGGCACAGTGGTGTGCTGGGCACCAATGCGGCCTCTCCCAACCTAGAGATTCCAGCCAACGCATTGGGAGAACCTTCCAGCAATTTCCATCACTCTTCAGCTATGGGTGCATTTCCTGTTCCCCAACAGCCCTTCCGGGCAGAAGCTGGTGGCATAGACACTCATCTGGGGGACCCCAGGGCACTCATATATGAAGACCAGCATTTTCCTTCTTATGGGCAGCATCCATGGGAGAGCTGGCAGCCTCTACCTGCTTGGGAGCCAAGGATGGCTCCTCAGCAGCCACTGTTCCAGCACCCTGGAGCCCAATAGCAGCCACCTTCACCCCCTTCCGCCCAGGAACACTGGATGGATCCCGCTGAGATCAGATGCCTCAAGGAGGAGGAGGAGCCCTAACTGTTTGCCTCAGTGGACAGACTGTGGACTGAAAGATCCCAGATTTGATTTCCGTCAAGCGCTTGTACTTGGGTTGCAGACTCAATCTTGTGGGAGGCAACTAATTGATGTGTCTCTCTGACTCCTGCCCATGCATGTGTGGTTCTTTTTCTGGACTTAGTTATGTTCCACTGATTGATCTATTTTACACCAATACCTCACTTTCTTGATTGCCATGGTCTTACATAAATCTCAAAATAAAATATTAATCTTCCAATTTGGTTCTTTGTCAAAGTTATTTTGGCTACTTTAGATCTGTTGTATTTTCATATGAGTTTTAAAGTGAATTTGTCCATTTCTACCTTAATAAAGTTGCTGAAGTTTTGGTTGTGATTGCATGGAATTTATAGATCAATTTAGAGAGAACTGACATCTTGGTAATACTGAGACTTCCAATCCATGAATATGGCAGTAAAGCTCTTCATTATTCCATCATCTTTCATTGCTCCCAACAACAGTTTACAGTAGGGGTGTCGAACTCAATCAGAGAAGGGGCCAAAATCTAAAATCCAGCCTAAATCGCGGGCCGAATGGTTTACTGAACAGTCATAAACTGTCATTGTGATGGAAACGCAGCGGAGTGCAGTGATGACAGTGCGGTTCGGGCCACATTGCAAGGCCTGGCGGGACGGATTTGGCCCGCGGGCCTTGTGTTTGACACATGTGGTTTACAGTTTCCACTTTCACATCTTTTGTCTCTAATTTATGCCCAAGTATGTAAAATTTTTGATGCTATTATAAATAGTCTTTTTTTTTAATGTCCAATTTGTGGTAAATGAAATTACAATTGGTCTGTGTATCTCAAGCTTATATTCTACTACTACCAAATGTAGCTGCCTTGGTAGTTCTAGTTGCTTTTTGTAAATTCCATCAGGTGAGCATGTCATCTGTGAATAAAGGTAGTTTTACTTCCTCATTTCCAATCAGGATGACTTGTGTTTCTCCTTGCACTGACCTGAGGTTTAATGTCCTGGAGGTATGGGAGCCTGAGTTTCTGTGCCAACTCTGCCGTCACTCACTTTGTAAGCTTTGTCTTTCCCTCTCTGAATGTGCAAACAGACCACAGCCAGTCCATATATAAAAAGAGAACTCTGATCCACAGTCTGCAGCAACCAGCCTGGGAAGCCAAATCACAACTTCTGTAGCAACCAGGCCCCAAATGGCCAGAACTTGATTACCCACTCACAGCCTCCCTGATTTTTGTCCCCGCTTCCAGCTTAGCATGAACAGGAGACAGCCAAATGTGCACCCCAACCAATCACACAGGATGTCCCGCTTCTAGTTAGCTCTGAACCCGAGTTACTGTAAAGCGATCTGAATGTTCCTCCCCTAGTTTCTAACATACAGTAAAGCAACGCCCTCTGAGAGGAGTTAGCGATCCCCGTTGTAATCCACAGCTTCCTGCCTGTCCCGCCTCTTCCAGTTAAGGCCTGACTCACTGTGCTCCTGACAATTGGGCTGAACAGAGACTGTCACCTTTTCTCCTCCCAACCTTCCAGTGAAATAGCGGAGTCATTCTCTCACCGTTTGTTCTGCTGCCTCCTGTTGGCAAGGCCCAGGAAGACAAATAAAGGAGCTTTGTCCTCACCTCTGGGAGCCAACCTCAGACACACCCATCTGGAAGACTCACACCATTGGCAGGTAAAACCAGTCTCCTCCTTGCCATCCAATGTCTCTTAGAGGTGGTGTGTCTAATGTTAACACTGACTTCAGTGAACTTGACTTCACTCTTTCTTGAGAGTTGTAACTAAGTTTTTGTCAGACTAGTCAGAGAAAACCAAGAGACATGTGACTAGGAAATCTGACAGAAGAAGGGTGATAGGTAAAATCTCATAGAAAATGGGTGATTGTAAATGGGGAGCATGAAAGCAGAAGATGCCTTGTTTTCAGAGGAGCATAAAAGACTTTCTCTTGCCCAGATGCAGTGGCTTAGTGGCTGAGCATTGACCTATGAACCACGAGGTCACGGTTCAGTTCCCAGTAAGGGTATATGTTCAGGTTGCTGGCCTAATCCACAGTAGGAGTGTGAAGGAGGCAGCCGATCGATGATTCTTTCTCATCATTGATGGTTCTAGCTCTTTCTTCCTCTTCCTTCCTATCTCTGAAGTCAATAAAGACATTTTTTTTTAAAAAGAGAATACGCTAAAATGGTTGAGTACTACCTATGTACAGTAGACTCATGAATGATTCTTTTTTTTTCTTTATATTTCTCTGTATTTTTCAAATTTTCTGTATTGGGTAGTTGCTAATTGTATAATGAGAAGAAAAAAAATAGTGAAGTAATTTAAACAAACCAGGTCTCAGGCTGAGGGCTTGGAGCAGAAACTAGACATAGCTAGCCAAGCTCTCTCTAGGAGCCAGGGCATCAGCATTAGTCTGCTTTTTCTGAAATTGGTAAAACTAAACTGCTAAGCTTCCAGTTCCTTTCAGAATAAGGTGGGGAGAAAGGATGCAAACAGCCCAGGCCAGGCTTCCGGCTTCTTACAGCTCAGGGAAGGTCAACCTGAAAGAGGCCTGGAAAGAGAACACTGGCTTACTAGTTGGTCAATGAAGACAAATACTTGATCTGGGAATAATCTGGGGTGGACAGAACCCAAAAAGGAACGGCCTCAAAAGAGGGCTCATGCACTTTCCTGAGCAAGGCTCAGTCTCTGTCCTCTGCATGTGTGTGTCCTTAACCTATAATAGAAACTTGCGCCCATTGTAATTTGTGGAATAATCAAGATCTCTGATTCAAGCGTGTGGGAACCTGAAATGAGGAAGAAAACTAAGGCACAGAGAGGACATTGCTCAAGCCAATAAGGTGAAAGTAAGGATGGCTAAAGCCCCTCCCCCAGTCACAGCCACTTTATGTGGAGGGTAGAGTCATGAGATCAGAGATGTGAGTGAACTAAGAGTAAGAGCTGGTAAGGTATTCCATAGGAGAGAGAAGTCTTGGGTCCCCCACTTTCATTCTTCTTCCCCAAAGGCGAAAGTGGTCCTTAGGCAATATGAGTTCAAGCTCATCCTCATTGCTGTTTCTGTTCATGAAGCATTTATCAACGCCAATCAAATATTATGCAAAGGAAACTTTATTCGTGGAATACAATTTTACCATATAGGATTACACAGCTGGAAGATACACAAGTATGGGGATGGGGAGTTGGGGGGGGGGGGGTGGTCATTAATTGTGAGGCAGATCTATAATTTTCCATTGGAACTTCTTTCCCACCTTCCATTTAGTAACCATTGTCTCCATTTACAAAACCATTGTGGCAGTCAGTAAATATGCCCTTCATTTAATAAAAGTGACTACCCACCCCAGCCATTTGTCCAGAAGTCACAATTTGTTCACTGTTTGAAAACATATAATGTGCCCTAGCCATGAATATTATCTATGAATTATTAAAGACAAGTACAAAAGTAAATAGATTAAATAGCAGAAATTAATTAATTAATTAATTAACCAATAAATATATCCAACAGTAACAAAATCTTATAAACCCATGGTGTAGATTAATAAATGAAAACAATCACAATAAGGAAATAAATATTAAATAAATATACACAGTGATCAGCACTAAATGATGAAGCAAAGAGATGGTGGTTTGGGATCATGTCTTCACAATTCTCAGGAGTGGACTCGGCCAGAAGTACCGTCAGCGGTATCATCACTTTGCTCCTATCTCGCCTTCTCCATCCATTGCAGGATAATGTCTATCTCTTCCACAGCTTTCACCACCGCTTTCTGAAGTTCAAGCTGAAAGACACACAGTTAGGTAATGAGCGAATAAAAACGAGTCAGCATTCGCCCCAAAATTAATCCTCTTTTTTTATTGGCAGTTGTGTTGGGGATCACAAGCAGAGCATTATTTTCAAGCCGGAAGAGCTTGAAAGAGGTTATGGAACTTCAAGATCTCACCAGAGGAAGGAACATGGAGTCCATCATCCTGGTCTTAAATAAGGAAACTAAGGCCCAGAGAGGTAGCAGAATTAGGACTATAGCCCAAGCCTCTTGCATCACAGAGATCAAAGTAATGAGGCTGTGCTTTTTAAAGGGACGTGTGTGTGTGTGTGTGTGTGTGTGTGTGTGTGTGTGTGTGTGCGCGCGCGCGCGCACGTGCGCGCAGATGCACACAGGGGTTGCTTACTCTGCTTATTTCAATTGAACAAATATGTATTGTGCTAAGCACTGGGCCGGCTCAGGATCCAGAGATGCATTGTACATCCCCTACCCACAGGGCCTTTACAGTCAAGTGAGAGAGACAAGCAGAAACAGGCAGTTAAAATGTAGTGTGGTGCCCAGCTGGCATGGCTCAGTGGCTGAGCATTGACCTATGAACCAGGAGGTCACTGTTCGATTCCCGGTCTGGGCACATTTGGCTATTTGTTTCTGGAGGCAGCAGATCAATGATTCTCTCTCATCATTGATGTTTCTATCACTCCCTTCCTCTCTGGAATCAATAAAAAATATATTTTTTTAATGTAGTGCAGTGAATAAATGATGGAGTCAACACAGGACAACAGTAGCTGCACTTAACTCAGGTAGCAGAGAGGTAGCAGAACCTCCTTGGAGGTGATGTGTAGGCTGAGTCTAAAGGATGCATAGAATTAGTCAGTGAGGCATGGAATCCAGGCCTTCCTGGCAGATGTGCAAAGGCATGAGGTGAGAAACAGCATGGGGCGGGCACTGGTGAAATTGTGCATGACTGTTTTTGAAGGCATGTATGAGTGCATGCATGGTTATAGCCTCTTGTTCGTGCACCTGGAAGATGTGTTTTTAAAAGGCCATTCCCTTTTCATTCTTAAGGCATTTTTCAGAGAAAGCACCCTTCTAAAGCCCACTTGGGTGTCCCTGGGGTACAGCAGAGGGACAGGCCACATGACCTTAGAGAGCTATTAACCTGAGGGCTACAGGATTTCTCCCAGTATGAATACCCATCCCACTCATTTATGATCTCAGTTCTAAAAACACACTCATCCCAACCAAGGCCAAAATTGCATATACCTGTTTGAAGTGATTCTGAATCTGGTTGAATTTCTCCAGTGCTTCCTCTCCACAAGGGCATGTCATTTGGTCATGCTGAAAAGAAGGCCAAAGAATGATAGCTTTTATAAATATTCTGATTATCTGCCACTAACCTGTTAACTGGGGAGTTCCTTTTTTAATGACACAACCTGTAAGGGGCGCGTACTCTTTCACTAGGACATGTCAGTACATCACACCTGGAGGATGTAATTTCATATTATTTTTATTTATTTGTACTTAATGAAAACAAATGAAATATATATTGTATATATATGTATATATGTATATATATATATATATATATATATAGTTTATTTATATATATAAAGCACAAAGGAAAATACTACAAAAAAAATAGAAAAGAATACCGACAAAAAAAATGGACACGTCGAATTAAAAAATTATAAATTTTACAAACAATGATAAAGATTACAAAAAATAGCCGAAACCGGTTTGGCTCAGTGGATAGAGCATCGGCCTTCAGACCTAAAGGTCCCAGGTTCGATTCCGGTCAAGGGCATGTACTTTGGTTGCCAGCACATCCCCAGTGGGGGGTGTGCAAGAGGCAGCTGAACGATGTTTCTCTCTCATCTGATCGATATTTCTAACTCTCTATCCCTCCCCTTTCCTTCCTCTCTGTAAAAAATCAATAAAATATTTTTAAAAAAAGATTACAAAAAATATATACCGTCCCTCTCGGGGCGCAACATATATTTCAAGGACGTATTCATACGTCCTACCCGGTCCCGATATTGTTTACGTTTGACGTATTTATAGGTCCTGCTCGGTTAACAAGTTATCATCAAGTAGGTGGGAATTCTACTCTTTCTATAGGCACTCCTTTCTCGTAGACAAGTCTTATCAGGCCTCATCATTTAAGATCATTTACCTAGTCATCAGTAGAACAGAAAACCAACTTTTTAGGCTCAAATACAGAGCTCACTGCTTCTTTTTAGAAACAAGTAACACTGAAGGAATTTATGATCACAGTGTCATCTGCCTGTAGCCCCTACTCAGCTCTAGTCTGCCCCCCTCCAAGAGAGTCCCCATGCAAAGAAAGAATTGGATTCCTAGGTCCTACTGAGGCCCTATTTTGATATTGAGGCCAATGGCCTAATGACTAGCTGCCTGGACCCCATTTGCACTAGTATACACACCACCAGATACCTCACCTTAATTTCATGTATAAAAGATAATTGTCATTAACATCAAATAACTAACATTTTATAGTTCTTTAGACTTTTTAGATGGAGCATATACCCAAAAGTCCATAAAACTGAGTTCTCATTACCTAGTCACATGGCTCCACACAGACTATTAGAACTTAGGGACTCAGTGTTTCCATCTTTTAAATGGGAGTCAAAAAGGAGCCTGGTTACTACAATAAGTCATTGAAGCTATGTGCCAAGATTAATCCTTTACCCGAGACCCTTACTCACACAGAGCGAGAGGTTCTTCTTGATAGCAAGGAAAGAGTTGGCGAGGCTGCTGATCTTCCGGAGGATATCAATGTCAGGAGTCGGATAGTTTCTGAATACCATGACCAGGTAGAGTTCCAGAATATGGCTAAGGAAGCAGCACTGATCTTCAGGCTACAAAGAAGACGAGTATGTTAGTGAGGACAAGGTCTCCAGGGACAAGACTCGAATGATCGAGATGTCCCTGGTTTACATTTCCTCCCAGAACTCCTATGGGCCAAGCACATACCCTTGTGTCTTGGAAAAACTCAGCTTTCAAGATTTTGAGGTCCATGATTTCATCCTTGGCTTGCTAAACAGAAAAAGACAAGAAGAGAAAATGGCAGGTTAGTAATGGCTGTCAGGGTCTTAGACACAGAGACCTCTTACCCCCCTCCTTGCCATGACCCTGGGACAGTGCCCCTTTCCAAAAACACTTTTAAATTTCTTTTAAATATTTTATTGATTTTTTACAGAGAGGAAGAGAGAGGGATAGAGTTAGAAACATCGATGAGAATCATCAATCAGCTGCCTCTTGCACATCCCCTACTGGGGATGTGCCCACAACCAAGGTACATGCCCTTGACTGGAATCGAACCCCGGAACTTTCAGTCCACAGGCCGACGCTCTATCCACTGAGCCAAACCGGTTTCAGCCAAAACACTTTTAAATTATGAGCTACAGATGTCTCCTGGGAATGTATCCTCTTGGTAAGAAGTCCCCAAGCTGTCCCTTTTTATGGTCACACTATGAGGGGACAGAGAAAGACAAGAAGAGAAGGGGAGACGCAGCCACAAATTGGGAGGGTGCCTCCCTCACATACCACTCTCTCCCTTATCTGAGAAAATTCATTTTGCATTTCTTCAAGGTTTGTGGTGATCATACAGCTTCCCAAATTGAGTGTCTTCAGCCCAGCAGAAGGTGTCCAGAAGAGAGAAAACACAGCCAAGGAAAGGCAGAGGGGGAGACAAGAACTTTTCATCTTGTGCCAGAATCTGGAAACCACAGGAGCTAGGAATTCAAAGGAAAGAGCATGACTTACTGATTTCCCATCTCATGCTTTAAGAAGCCAGTCTAGTCACCAGAAACGTGCCTCCCCCAGATGTCTCTTGGGGGCGAAACCTCATAGCTTTATCTGATTTCTGACAGTCGGATGCATTCATCTAACTTACTAAGGAAAACTGCTGAGCCGCCTCAAAGAGTAGCTTCCAGATGCTTGTTCAAGGTCTGAGTGTGAGTTCCTGCTACAGGTCCCAGATCTTTTATTCTGTCTCCATCCCAGCCCCATCATCATTGCCCAGCAGTAAGGCCTGGAGCAGCAGGCACGTGTAGTGAGTAGATAGAGGATGACATCTCAGGTGAAATGTCAAAACTTGTTTGGGTGAGTTGATGTATATCATCTTCCCTTCCAGCATGCCAGTTATAGTTCACCCTGAACCCGCAGGGAAACTGGGGGAAAACAGAACTCACAGAAGCTGTTGCTGAGACACCAAACACACTTTGAGAAAAATTGTCTTGATTTTATGGCCACCTCAGGGCTGAGAATCTTAGTTCTGTTTGGCATTTGACTGAGATCAGATTGATTATTTGAGGATAGCAGACTTATTTCCGCCCCAAGGCAAAGAGAAAGTCAATGACTTCATAATAATTCTATTGCCAGGAAAAGGCAAGATCTGATAGGCAATCATCCCAAGTCCACCTAACACTTCTCCACCCTCCTGAGCTGTTGACTCCCCAGCGTTCTCTGCAGGAAGACTTCAGTCAGGCACAACTGGCATGAATCCAAGAGCACACTCTTTGCTGGCTCTTGAACTCCTGGTGAAGATCAAGTATGATCTCAAACACAGAGGAAAAAGGCAAAAGAAAATGCATTTTTTCTTGGGGAGAGCCTTGCTCTGTAATGCGGCACTTTGTAATGTTTGCTGAGTTTTACGATGAAATAATAATGGGCTGGGATTAGAGGGAAGAAGCACTTACTTCAGGCACAAAATTTTAGGGACCACCAAAGGTCTCAGAAATATCAATAATAATATTTTGAGATTTAAATAAGTAATCTTTTAATCGTTATATTTCATATTATATAAATAAGTATAGGCCCAATGCATGAAATTTGTGCAAGAGTAGGCCTTCCTTCTCCTGGCTCCGTTTTTAGAGCAAATTGTAATCGGAGATGAAGAATGGGTGCTGTATGTTAATTTGAAAAGGCGGCCTCAATGGTTGGACAAAAATGAGGCTCCGCAGCCCACGCCAAAACCTGACTTGCATGCGAAAAAAGTGATGTTGTGTGTTTGGTGGAATTTTAAAGGAATTGTTCATTATGAACTTTTACCATCTAACCAAACCATTACAAGTGCAGTGTATAGTGCCCAATTGGAAAGGTTAGCCCAAGCTTTAAGAGAAAAAGAACCCGCGCTGATTAATCGGAAGGGCGTAATTCTTCACCACGATAACGCACGACCGCATACTGCAAGAATCACTGCTGAAAAACTGCGCCAGTTGGAATGGGAAGTTCTCCCTCAACCTGCATATTCTCCTGATATTGCCCCTTCCGATTACCATTTGTTTCGTTCTTTGCAAAACTCTCTTCTTGGAAAAAAATTTAATAATGAAGAATGCCTCAAAAATGCATTGACCGAATTTTTTGCATCAAAATCACAAGAATTTTACAACAGAGGGATTAAAATGCTTCCTGAGTGTTGGGCACAAGTAGTAGAAAACAACGGCAACTATATTGTTGATTAAATTTTGTTGTATTGTTTAAATAAATTAGATTTAAAAAAGTATTAGAAAACGACATTAATTATTACTAGACCTAATAAATGTATGTATGTATGTATGTATAATATAGAGTGTATATATAAGTATATAACATATAATGTTTATACACTAGGGCATATTTAATGTAATATTATCATAAAATCTCACTAAGAACATCAGCTCCTTGAGGGCTATAATTGTGTATGTCTTACCACCCCTCTATTACAAACAGCTGGAATGGATCCTAGTTTATGATAAGTTTTGGATAAATGTATGTTGAATATATTGTAACTTCTATGGAACAGGTATTTCCCCCCCCCCCCCCCCATGAGACAGGTCTTATAATCCAACTTTCTGACAAAGAAATTTAAACTTAATGGTTGAATGAGTTGCCCAAGTTCATCCAGCCAGTAAGTAACAGAATGTACTAAAAATACAGCTGATGTAAGGATTACAAGGCCTAGGAGGCAACATGAAGATTAAGGTGAGTTAGTGGCAGAATGGAAACTTTAAGCTAAGTCTCTTAACTTTTAATTCATTACTCTGTGCGTTAAACTGTGTGTCCTCAGGGACAAGAGGGCCTAGAAGAGCAGTGGGAATGGGGGTGCCAGGAAACAGGATTCCTTGTTCTATGTCAGGGCCTTTTTATAAGGAAGAGTCCCAACAGTCTGTTCAGTTGGGAGATGACACCACGCATCTCATCTGTCTGTGAACCTCTGAAATTCACACTGAATCTGCAGTAACTGGAAGAACCTCTCTCACTCTAGCACTTTCCATCATCCCTTCCAGGAATCCGGAATCACTGGGATGATTCTATCCTCTCATAAGAAACTAGATGCCCAGTGCACAAAATTCTTGCAGGGGGCTTGGCCCTCATAGCCCCGGCTTCTCCAGAAGGTTGTCTGGATGGTTGTTCTGCTGTTTGGGTCTAATTAGCATATTAGCTCTTTATTATATAGGATACCCAGCTGCTCAAACACCCATCTCATAGGCGTGATCAAGACTCGGCAAAATGCGGCTCGAGAGCCACATGCGGCTCTTTGACCCCTTGAGTGTGGCTCTTCCACAAAATACCACGGCCTGGGCAAGTCTATTTTGAAGAAGTGGCATTAGAAAAAGTTTAAGTTTAAAACATGTGGCTCTCAAAAGAAATCTCAATCGTTGTCCTGTTGATATTTGGCTCTGTGGACTAATGAGTTTGCCGACCACTGTCATAGGCAGTAAGCAGGATGGGCGTAGTGATGGAATCCATGAAGCAAACAATGAGTTGTTGCAACCCATCCTCAAATCCTGAAATCAGAAGGTTTTCAAACTTTCCAATATAATGGAATTCACTGCCTTCTTGGAAAATTAATTTTAATCACACCATGTCTAAGAACCAGTTCATTCAGCACTGCAACTGATTACCAGAAATGGTGCTGCCCTGCCAGTGTGGCTCAGTGTAAGCATCAACCATGAACCAGGAGGTCACAGTTTGATTTGGGTCAGAGCACATGCCAGGTTGTGCGTGGGCTCGATCCCCAGCAGGCGGCGTGCAGGAGGCAGCCAATCAACGATCCACTCTCATCATTGATGTTTTATTTTTCTCTCCCTCTCTCTTCCTCTCTGAAATCAATAAAAACATCTTATTTAAAGGTACCTAGAACATACAACACAATCTCCAGTTTAAAAAAAAAAAAAGGTTGTTACTATTTAATGATTCTCAACTTTTCTAATCTTATTTCCCAGAAACACTGTTGTGGGAACTAGCAAGTGAGACAAAGCAAAAGGCACCGGCCAGGCCAACAGAGCTTTCCTCTAGGTCTGCACCCCCACGGGGCCCTGGCCTTGCGAGGGATGCTTGCAGTGTCTGTGCAGCCAGCCAGGCCCCCGGTAGCCTTCCTGATTCTCCCTGCTGCTCAGACACCCCTCCAACAGGCTCGCCTGCAGGCCATCCTCCCTCCATCACAGACTCTTCCCAGTGGAGGATTGTCCCTTGGCTCTGTCTGAACCTTACTTCCCTCGTGCCAGCACGCTCCTGACACACGAATCGCTTGGCCTTCCCCAGGCAGCTGTAAACAAATGTCTGCCTGTGAGTGGCAGAAGAAAAGGGCTCAACTGAGATGTGGGGGGTGGTATGGCTGAGGCGGAGACATAAGGCTGCATTTCGTGAGCACATGAAGCTAACTTTAGGAAGTAGCGTTTCAGAACTGGGGGTCAGCATATAAGCAGAGCCAGGAAATGATAAAGATAATGTTGTGGCTGGCAAGGCCCGGTGGAGGCAGGGCTCCAGATGGCTAGCAAGACCCTATCGAGGAAGGACTCCAGGCCAGGCCAGGGAAGGAACGAGCAACCAGACCCACAACAAAGAACGTAGCATAACTTTCAGTCATAAAATAGTTCTGTTGCAAGGCTCAACCCCCAGGCAGGCACGTCCTGTTACCAGTAGCCGCAAGGCAGAACAGACCGACCAAACCAGGTGAAACAGAAACTGCTTAAGCTGAAAATAACCCCCCACCCCAGGTGTTGTACAAACTTTAAACGTTACTGTACTAGTGGAATTTTTCTATAACTTATAACTGACGTTTCTTTGTTAAAACTTCTAGCCAATCAGAATCTGCCAGGCATCCCTATGACAGGGATGAAAGTAGCGTGCTTAGACTGGGTCGGGGCTCTCGTTGCTCGCTGCTGTGTCAGTTGAGATGGGAGCCCGGACTCGAGTTCATAATAAAGGCTTCCTGAATTCCAATGTGGCTGACTGGTGGTCGTCATTCGCGGGTCGCCCATAACATCTGGAGGCCCCCAGAGAGATCCACTCTGACCTCGTTGTCAGTGGATGGACACCCATCCCGGGTTCCAGGGAGACAGAGTGACCTTCGCACAAAACGGCGATCCGGTAGTTGAAGCCATCTGGACCTCAGAGACTGAGGTAAGGTCTGGTCTGGTCTGGGGAACGTTCCAATCTGGGAGACCCTAGGAGGGCTGGACGCAGCGTAACCCTCAGATCCAGAATCCCGCCAGAACGGCGCTCGGGATTCACAGGTCTGCGGTATCAGGAGTGGGATTGGACAGGTGTGTCTGGTCTCTGTGTGTTGTATTGTCTTTGTTAGTCTGCTGTTTGTGTCTTATTTTTGTATGGTGAGGATGTGGCAGGGTCCGTCTGGACCCTCCACCCCGTTGCAATGTTTTCTTAAGAATTTTCAGGATTTCCGAAAACAGACGGACGATTACGGCTCTGATGTTATTGCTTTTGATTTAACCACTCTTTTTCCCAGGTCAACGCCAGTCTATAGGATAACTTTCTCCTCACAGTTCCTAGAGTATTAGTCTTGTTTCCTTTGTCCAATATGAGTGCCATTTCTGTTTGTTTGTTTTTTGCTGAAACATTGTAATAGTACTTGTTTACTGAAAGGGTATAAGTACAGACGTTTGTTTAATATTTTGTTTGTCTGCTTGGATATAATTATTTGTTCATGTAAGTGTGAAAAAAAAAAAAGAAAAAGAAAAAAGAGAAAGAAAGAAACTTTTAATTTGTTTAAAGCTGAGGGCTTTGACAGCTAGCAAACCGCCCTGAGTGGCCACTGGGATACCTTTTTCCCAGGGGTGCTTTGCTTTCTGTCAGAGGGGAATCGGCCCACCTAACAGGATTTATATGTTTATTAATTTGAAGGTATGAAGTTGTAACAATTGTGGTAAAAAAAAAAAATAAAACCAGAGACCAAATTCTAAAGTTAACTATTTACAAGAAGGAAGCTTGAGCTGGCAAAGTTGCCAAGTCTGCCCAGCAAGCTCAAAAAACAAAACAAAACAAAAACAAACAAACAACTAAATAAATGTTATTTCTGCCACCACCCAGTCTTGATCAGTGGTGGAGGAATGGTCTCAGAACTGTTTGTTTCAATTGGCCATTTAAGTTTAATGTAATTAATGATTACAGTATATTGTAAAATCTTTAAAAGAAAAGGAAAATATTTTGTGGGCCACTTGGTCCTTGTGTGTGTGTCAACTCTTAAGTTATAATTTTAAAATCAGTAAGGGCTTTTCAGAAAGGTCAGGGAGTCTGATTGCAGTATAGGGGTCACGGGTTCCCCCCATGCCACCTGCCTCGGCAGGAGGCAAGCGGTTTTTCCAGAGGACTGCCAGATGAAAATGCCTCTCCTAGGTGGGAGCACCTCCTTCGCCACCTGGGACCCTCGCGCTCCCTGCCTCCGCCCACCTGGTGTCTATTCCCTTTAGAGCAGCTGGAGGCAGCGGCTGCACTGCGTGCAGGCGAGGGGAGAAATTCCCCTGTGACCCCCTGCACCCCAATGAGACCCCCAAGCCCCCAGTGACTGCTTGGACACTTTTCACCGTGTTCTATTAGGGGGCTTAGAGCTCAGCTAGAAATTCTCCTGTTCCCCTTTTCAGGCTTATCAGAATTTGAGATCCTTATCTGTAGGGAAAATGTGTCACTTTAAATTTCAAGCGGCTGGAGGCCTGGGAACAGAGTGCTAGACCTGCTCCCTCCTCCCTCTGCCTTTTCTAAATATAAATATTTTAAAATAATAGGAGGTTTGAGGCATGGCTATGCATTTTTAAAGAACATAGAAAGAAGATATGAAGGCTAATTTAAAAGAATAAAAGTTTTTATGAAGGTTGTGCATGTGATGAGAAGGGGAACAAGAAAGGGTTGAAAGGAAGAGAAAGGCAGCAGCCAATAGGAAGGGAGGACATCCTGGCAGGTTAGCTGGAGAGGCAAGAAGGGAGACTTAGACTCCAAAGGTTTTGTTTTTTTCTAACTTAGAGGAAGAGGACTGACAGGACAGGGCTCCTTTCCATTAAGCCCCCATGGGTAACCTTACAAGTGAGAGGCAAACCTGTTAATTTCCTGGTGAGCACTGGGGCAGTTTATTCATCTTGACAGAGCCGATGGGACCTCTAGGGAAATATCATCAGTCCAGGGAGCCACCAGAAAAACTGCCTGTTTTCTTTGGACATCAAGAAGGACTGTAGAGTGCTCGCTTCGGCAGCACATATACTAAGGACTGTAGACCTAAGAAGGAACACGTACTGGAGGAACGCAGCCGCTAAACTGGACTGAAGTAGAACAACGGGCCTTTGAGGAGCTAAAGAAGGCTCTTGTCTCAGCAGCTGCCCTAGCCTTGCCAGATGTCACGAAGCCCTTCCACCTTTATGTGAGTGAGGTAAGGGGCATTGCCAAAGGGATTCTCACTCAGACTCTAGGTTCCTGGAAGAGACCTGTGGCCTATCTGTCTAAGAGACTAGACCCTGTGGCAGCAAAGTGGCCAGTGTGCCTCTAGTCAGTGGCCACCACAGCATTGCTGGTGAAGGAGGCAGATAAGCAGACTCTGGGCCAGGAGCTAGCCCTGACAACACCCCATGCCGTTGAGACCCTCCTTCGGGTGCTTCAGAAAGATGGATGTCAAACACCAGAATTACCCAGTGCCACGCTCTTCTCCTGGACCAGCCCTGCATCCAGTTACATAAAACACTGGCCATCAACCCTGCCAGCCTGCTTCCAGATGATTCAGAGGAACCCATTCATGATGGCACAGAGGTAACAGATGCAGTACTGACAGATGTCCTGCCGTCATCACCAGACAAGGTACTGTTCATGGATGGGAGCAGTTACGTTTGGGATGGGATCTGATATACAGGGGCAGCAGTAGTCACCCTGGACCACACCATTTGGGCACAGTTCCTGAACTTTTGGCTTTAATCCAGGCCCTTCAATGGGGACACAGTGCCATCCCCCAGGAAAGAGGATTACCAACTTAAGCCAGAAAGTACATTAAAAATAAGGAAGAGATTTTAGCTTATTTGAGTCCATCTGACTCCTGAAAGCAGTTGCAATAGTGCACTGCAAAGGACATCAGAAAGGGGAGACAATTGAAGCCAGAGGAAATAGAGCCGCAGACCAAACTGCTAAGGAAGATGCCCAAAGACCAGTGGGGCCTTTACAAGTCTGCCGGACCCCAACCTACACCAAACAAGAGGAGGAATTGGCTGAACAAAAGCAAGTCATCAAAGGACCAGATGGTTGGTGGACCCTACCAGATGACAGACTGTTGGTTCCAGAGGCTCTAGGTCAGATGTTAGTTGCCCGTTTACCCACTTAGGCATCATCAAGACTTCTGAACTTCTGTGAGCCAGATACTACGAAGCTTAAGTAAGGTAAAAGCATAGTCACTAGAAGTACTGTCTGTGTACAGGTAAATGCTAAGCAAGAATAGAGGGTCCCCCTGGGAATTTGGGCCCCAGGGAAATTCCCTAGGAGAGCATTAGAAGGTGGGTTTCACAGAGATTAAGCCACCAGCATTGAGGTACAAATACATGCTAGTTTTTATAGACACCTTCTTAGACTAGGTTGAAGGATAGGACAGAAACTGCCTCTATAGTAGTCAAGAAATTATTCCAGGAGATTATACCTAGATTCGAGCTGCCAGTAGTCATAGGATCAAATAACAGCCCAGCCTTTGTAGCAAGGTATCTCAAAGTATAGCTCAAGCCTGAGAACAGGCATGAGTGGAACTCTAAAAAGTTTAATTAAATTTGTCCTGGAAACCGGTGAAAATTGGACCAACCCCCTGCCCTTCACCCTATTATGGGCCAGGTGTATCCCTACTGGGATGGGTCCCCCCCCCTTTTTTTGAGATCATGTATGGTAGACCTCCTCTCCATCCTTCCCAGAGTCAGGAAGAAACTGAAAGCTAGAATTCATAACCATTCCCTTGCTCAAGTCCTTACAGGCTCTGCAATTTACCCAGAGAGCCATGTATAAGCTTGTTCCAGATGCACTGCCAGTGCCCCCCGTGAACCCTGTACACCCCTTCCAGCCCAGAGACTCTGTGTGGGTAAAGAAGTTCACTGTCCAAGGACTCACCCCAACCAGAAAGGGATGCTACACTGTTATCCTGAGCACGCCCACGGCTGTTGAAGTAGACGGCACCCAAACCTGGCTACACCACTCCCAGCTCCTGCACAGAAAACAACCTGGATCCTGGCAACCAGCAGCCTCACCCGTGAGATCCCTAGCCTGGGCTCCACACAGGCCAGAAGGAGACTTGATGCCTGCAGGAGGGGAATTGGATTTCAGTGAGGACAGTACTAATGGGAACTGTGGTACTAGAGGTTTTGGTAACTGTAAGAACATTTTTGCTAGCCAGTGAGAAAGTCCAGGGCTAAGTAAAGCTACATGTGCAAGGGAACTGGAGAGCAGAAAAAGAGGAATGGAGAAGACAAGAAGGAAATTGGTATGAAAACTTATTTTCCTGGTCCCCCTGGTTAACGACCTTAATAACAGCTATAGCAGGGCCCCTCACCCTACTCTTACTCATGTAACTCATTGGACCCTGCCCCCTCTGCAGCCTGCCAACCTTCGAACAGGATAGAATTCAGGCAGTAAAACTCATGGTCCTACATACCCAGTATTAGCCGATCCGAGAGGAAGAATGGGAGCAGCCAGAATCAATGATTTGATTCCCCGATAAGACCAGTGGGGAATATTGTGGCTGGCAAGACCCGATGGAGTCAGAGCTCCAGATGGCTAGCAACACCCTGTCGAGGCAGGACTCCAGGCCAGGGTAGAAACGAGCAACTCTAAGCATACTACTTTTATCCCCATCTTAGGGATGCCTGGCAGATTATGATTGGCTAACAAAGAAACGTCAGTTATAAGTTATAGAGTATGTAGCATGATATGCTTTAGCCAAGCATAACTGTTAGTCATAAAATAGTTCTGCTGCAAGGCTCAACCCCCAGGCAGGCACGTCCTGTGTCCAGTAGCCGCAAGGCAGGACAAACAGACCAAACCAGGTGAAACAGAGACTGCTTAAGCTGAAAATAACCCCCCACCCCAGGTGTTGTATAAACTTTAAATGTTACTATACTAGTGGAATTTTTCTATAACTTATAACTGACATTTCTTTGTTAAAACTTTTAGCCAATCATAATCTGCCAGGCATCCCTAAGACCTAAGACGGGGGTAAAAGTAGCATGCTTAGAGTGGGTCAAGGCTCTCGTTGCTCACTGCTGTGTCAGTTGAGATGGGAGCCCAGACTCGAGTTCATAATAAAGGCTTCCTAAATTCCAATTTGGCTGACTGGTGGTCGTCATTCGAGGGCCGCCCATAACAATAAGCTGGGCAGAGGAAAGAGAATCCCTTCTTAGGAAATGAACTCAGATTCCTCACCATGGCACCTCTGGGCAGGAAACAATGGTCTAGGAACCAAGAAAGCCCAGCCACTCCCTTTTTCCCACAGCAAGTCCTGAGCGTTTCCCCTGTCTCTATGGAGGGCATCATCACTGCTGGCATCCGAGCTTCCTGCCCAGTTGCATCACTTTTCAGGGAAACACTGGCATCTGGTTCTGAGGAAGAACCTCCGTTTATTGATGACCAGGTAGAGGCCTTCCCAGGGCCAGGCATGCGGTGCTGCCAGCTTGGCCTGGCAGCCCTGCCACCTCCCTGCAGGGCGGGGATGGGCGGGGCAGCTGATTATCAGAAGCGTAGTTTTTGGTTCCCCAAGCTCAAAGCCAACAGAATGAGTGACGTCATTTCCTTTTCCTGCGTTTTTCCCCACCTTGCTCTGTTTTCACCAGCTCAACTTGCTGTCATTCTTTCTTGAGAGGATTCCTGTAGCTTAGCAGAGTGGGAGCCCCTGGGAAATCCTCTCCCAGACATGAAGTCTGGGAACAAAACTCCAGCCTGGCCTTGAATGAGCACTCTCCTCACCTGGGAGGACGGCGACATATGCAATTCCTTTCCTTATAATTACACAAACAAGCAAGGAGACACTTGCCAGCACCAAACAAAATGGCCCAAAGGTACCAAAATGGACAAGACATGGGCACTTGGGGTCTCAGAGCATCATAGGGGAACAGACCCTCTAGCGTAGGGATTCCTAACCTGGGAAAGGTGGATGGGGAAAAAAATCACATTCTTTTTTTTCTTTTTCCACTAACTTCTGTTCAAAGCATTTCCTCCCTTCATGAGGCTGGGAAACAAACATAAACCACACTAGTATTAGCCGTGGCAGGAAATCACAGCTATTTTGTATCCTATTCCAGCTGCTTCAGACACCCCAAAACATTATGTTCCTCCAAACTTAAACATGTCAGTAGTATGTAGGCCCACTGCTGTCATTCTTTCTCCATAGAATTCCTGCAACATAGCAGGGTCCCCAAAACTGAGACACAGAGAGGTCAGTTAGTGGCAGAATGGAAACTTTCGAAGTCACACAGCTCAGCAGCAGCAAAACCGCCTTCCAATCCAGGCAAGCTGGTGGCAGAATGAACCACAACAAGCAACAAGCATGGCAAACTCATGCCTCATTTATTTGGCCTGTGTTCGCCTTTGAGTTTGACATGCTTGAACTACACCGTCGACAACAATGTCACTGATGTGAAAACATGACTCAGGCCTTCTCCTTCATTCCTCATAATAAGGCAAAGGCCACCCAATTAAATGGGTGAAGAAGTGTGAAGCCTGGCAAGTTTCAACAACACCTCTAGAGTCATACAGCTCTACTCATGGAACTGGGATTTGTGAAATTAAACAAGGAAGTCATTAGACGGAGGTGAGACTAATGCCATGGCAGCCTGAGTCAGCAAACTATAACCTAAGCCTAGAAATGCCTCAAGTCATGAAATGAAAATGCCAAAAACAGCCAGTCCCTGGCAGCCAGTCCCCAACAGCCACGTGGGCTTTACGCTGTAGCCAATCAATTTCCTTTCTTGGCTTCTGCACCTTCTGTCTCTGAGTCTTTCCCCTGGATCTTGTCAGCGGAGCGCTCTTTCTGGTCCCACACTGCCTGATTCCAATAAATACTGATTTGCTCAAAAAAAAAAAAAAAAAAAAAACAAACAAACAAAAAAAAAACTTGTAAAGTTTTGGATATGCCTCCATTTACCTTTTTGATAGTTCCAAACTCAGAGTGTCCTACTCCAAAGCCTAGGTCCTCAATCATGATGAAGTGCGGCCTGCACCTCTTGCATGCATGATGGGAGGTTGGGAGAGGAGGAGCCTTATTGGCCTAAGGAGCTGTGCCTGCATGCAGGGATGGTTGTAAAGGAGGATGGTTGTTCCATGAGTAGAGCTGTATGACTCTAGAGGTGTTGTTGAAACTTGCCAGGAGAGGAAACTTGCCAGGAGAGGAGAGGAAGGGAGAGGGGAGGAGAAAAAGAGGAGGGGAAGGGAGGAAGTATTAATTCTTGGCTGCTTATCTCACTTTGCCCACTTGCCTTGTCTACCTGTTCTTTCTCTCCATCTAGACTTGAAGAATGTGTCCTGATTCTTATAGTTCACAGAGTTGTGTTTTTTATTTTGGTGGTGTTGTTTCTTGTTTTATTGATTGATTGATTGATTGATTGATTGATTTCAGAGAGGAAAGGAGAAGGAGAGAGAGAGATAAAAGCATGGATTGACTGCCTCCTGCATGTCCCCTGCTGGGGATCGAGCCTGTAGCCCTGACCAGGAATCGATCTGGTTCAGAGGTCCACACTCAACTACTGGTGTTGTTGTTTCTTGTTTTTGTTTTCACAGTGTTGGT